ATAATAATAATAATAATAATAATAATTATTATTATTATTATTATTATTATTATTATTATTATTATTATTGCTTCCTTTGCAGGTAGAAATGATTAACATGTTTTAACATGGAAATGCAACAAATGTCTAGATAAAGCATCTATTGTGAAACTGTCAGAATATAGTTATGAAATTTTACAGTGGTCCAAATATTTTAACTCTTCTTCCATACTATTTTTTTTCTTCTTTGCCACACATCTATAGATAAAAGTCATGTTCTGACTGGTAGTGTTAGAAGGAGCCTTTACATCTGGAGGCATCTAAGTTTTTTCTGACTAATTTCTATCTTGCACCAGGTTTAGCTTAGAGCAGTGATGGCTAATCTTTTTCATCACCAGGTGCCAACCTGTGTGCTGGAAATGGCACGCAAAACAATCCCACAAAGAATGTGCAGCCTCGCTGGCCTTTGCGGGTGTGGGAGTGCCGAAACCCAGAAGAGGGCATTCCGTCGCACATGTGCGTGCCAGAACCCGAACTTCCAGTTTCTGGCACGTGCACCCAACAAATAGCTGGCCTTCGCCCATGTGTGCAATGAAAACCTGTGAGTTTGAATGCCGGCGCGCATGCGCGATGGAACGCTGCTCTTCCGGGTTTTGTCACTTCCATGTGCATGAAAGCAGGCTGGCCAGTGCACATGTGTGCACAGCAACACAGAAGAGGAACCAGTGAGGCTGCGCATCCCGTGCAGGATGGCTCTGCATGCCGTTTCCAGCACGCGTGCCACCATATGCTTAGAGTGATGCAGAACAGTTCTTGGATGTCGTGTCCCCCTCCCTCTTTATAAAAAAAATTGAAAGATAGTATCGGAAAGCTAAGAAGTATAACTACTTCTTTACATTTTTATAATGCTGTTGAAAGAACATTCATGGAAGTGAAACTGGGCATGTAACTTTTTCATGAAAATGGTTAGCTACAATGGATGGCTTCTTTTCCTTCAAATGTTGTTTGAACATTTGCATATTCCCACTTTGAAAATGATTGGCAGGAACTCTACTTTTTAACTTCTCGGTATGGATTTTGATTTCTCAAAGTTATATAAAGATACGACAGTTTTAATGAAAAGGCTTTTTCATCTTATACTGGTAATTTACTAAAGTACCCTTTCACCCAGAAGCCAAGTCACTTACAGAGACTAAATGCCTCTAATTTAGGTTTCTCCTTTGTTAAATGATCCTCTAAAGGAGATGGCAATAAAGAACTTTGTAGAGTACCATTAAAGTGTATTTCTACGCTTCAAAAGTTGTTTTCTTCAGTTGAAGATTTAGTCAGTTACTTGTGTGATTATTTAGGGTCAGGTGAGGTATGACTTCCTTAATCAGTTTTCAGCCTTCGTGATTTCATATAGAAAGTGTGACTGAATGACTCCGATACGTAGAACATTTTAATTTGGTAACATGCCTGGATATTTGTGAAAGGTACACTTAATGGAAGCTGCCTGTGGCTTGCGGGATACAAATTATACACCTAAAAATAAAAGAGAACTCCTCATGATTGTAATATAATACCTAGAAACTCAGGGTTAATCAGACTTATTTTTATAGGGAGCAAAGATGATGGAGCTACAGACATCTCTAGCTGGAAGTGATTTGTACGCAGCAAGGTTCGGAGATTCCATTGCCAATTTAGGAGACATTGATAATGATGGCTTTGAAGGTATTTTGTCTTTTTTTT